TTTTATTTTTCTAAAGATTTATTTATTTATTTGAGAGAGAGCGAGAAAGAGCGCACAAGCAGGGGGAGCAGCAGAGGCAGAGGGAGAAGCAGGCTCCCCGCTGAGTAGGGGGCCCGATGCGGGGCTCGATCCCAGGACCCTGGGATCCTGACCTGAGCCACCCAGCCCCCCGCCACCTGTGTCTCCTAGGACGGTGTGCCGTCGGCCAGGTGTCTGACGACTGTCATCAGCCTGGTCCAGTCTGTGCAGTGTCAGTGGGTAACAAGTGTGGGCCTAGGTCCCGCCCTCAAAATAGGGGCAGTGCTAGAGAAGGGTCAGTCGTCACCACAGCAGCGGAAACCCAGACAAGGAGCGTGGTGCGTCCTGGGCAGCTGTCCCCGCAGAGGCTGACATGAGGCCGGGTCTGCCCCATCCTGGCCACGAGGATCTTGCTCCTGCCGTCCCCCTTCCCCCTGCGTCGTTCTCCCTCTTCCCTGCATTGCTCCCGCAGGTGGTGTCCCCGCCTTGGACGAAGTCTCTGTGGCCTGGTTCCCCGCTTACCTTAGAGCGGACCCCGCGAGTCAGCCCCTCCCTCACTCCGGCTGCGTGGCTCCTCTCCCTCCCTCAGGCCTGCACCATCCCGTTGAAACAGCCCGGCCCGGTCCCAATAGCAGCGTCTGGCCACGTGTGCTCAGCCTCTGGCCCCACCCCACGGCCTGCTGCCGGGCGTTTACACGCGTTTTCCCTCCCCCGGGGGGACACTGTTTCTCGGGCTTCCAGATGCCATGCTGTCCCGGTTCTCACACCCCCGTCGTGCCCACACAGAGCGCTTTGCCGGCCCCGTGCCTCTGCCGGACCCCCGATGCGCGAGCACCTGTCTGCGCCCTCCCCGCCGGAGATCCACACAGGCCCTGGCCATCCGCGCCTCCCTGTGCGCCAGGGCCTCCCGCTGAGCTCCGCGGTCACACATGCCGCCGGCCCCCTGCCATCCCTGCCGGGGGCTCTGGGGGGCTCAGATGTGCCACAGCGAGGGTCATCTCTCCGCCCCATAAACTTGCTGGGCCCCACATTCCCTGTCTCAGTCGGGAACCCCTGTCCTCGCCACGGGCAGGCCAAATCCACAGGAGTCCTCCTAGACATGCGGGATGTCCCCTCCACCACTGTGGCCCATGGCACCGACGTCTCTCCTCGGAGGCTCCTCAAGCAATTCCCCTCTGCTCCTCCAAAACCCATGCTTCACACTTCACCTGGGAAGATTTTCTCGAAGTAGGAGTCAGAGCAGGTCCTTGACTTGACTGATAGCCTCCCGCGGCTCCCCGTTTTCCGTGGCATAAATCCCGCTTACCTCTCACCGCCAGTCACTCAAGGTGGCAACCCCAGGGCAGGGTCTCCTCTTGCTCTCTGCCGGGGCCGCGGCTGCCATGTGCAAGGGCCCTGGGGCCAGAGCATCCTGCTGCCGTCCATTGGCAATATGTGGAGATTTTGAGCACGGTTAGTTAGAAAAGAAGAGTTCTGGTACATTCTTAAGCAAAAATAAGCCAAAACTCAATTTTGAAAATCACTTCCTTCAGGAAGGCTAAAGGCCACGTTAAAAAAAAAACCTATAGTTGATATTTTATAACATTTTTTAAAAAAAGCCCTTTTCCTGCCATGAGCATGAATTTCAGTCTCAGAGTTTACAGGGATCAGTGTTTAGTTGTGCAGTGAATTAACCCTTAGAGCTGGCCCAGCAGCTCCACTCCGAGGTGCCCAGCCGAGGGAGGGGACACACGCGTCCCCTCTGGGCACACACCCTGCCTTCTGAACGGTCTCCTGACCTAGGAGGGGCCTCGGTTCCTCACTCGTCAGAGAAGAACATTGCCCAATATTGTTTCTACAGGCCTTTCCTTTCGAGGTTGTTTAAAAATGTCAGAGCATGAAGGAAGTGAAGTTGCCACAATCAGCAGCTTTTTATGTCCCCGCACCTCAGTCTTGGATCATTCTTCCCGAAAGGATCTTCTTCTCACCTGCTTTTATCTGAGGGTCTAGAGCCCCCAGTTAGCCCTTTGTTTTATTTTATTTGTTTATTAGAGAGAGAGAGAGAGAGAGCGTGAGCAGGGGGAGGGCCAGAGGAAGAGGGAGGGAGAATCTCCAGCAGACTCCCCAGCGCGGAGCCCAGCACAGGACTCGACCCCATGCCCCCCAGATCCTGACCTGAGCCGAAATCAAGAGTTGGTCGCTCAGCCGACTGAGCCTGTGTTTTATTTGAATCATGGGTCTTACTGGCGCTTGGGAGGTGTTTGTGGGGATCGCGCCAAGCGCCCTTGCCACCCTGCAGCTAGAGGTGGTGGCTGGCTGTCGGTTCGGTAATTGCTCACCGTGCTTTCCTCTCCCCGAAGCTGAAGGGCTGTGAGAACGGCACACACAGATTCCGACTGCAGAAGCAGGTCTTCACGGACAACAAGAACAAGCCTCTGGTGAGTTGGACCAGCCTCTGCTGCTCGGCAGAGATCAGAGCCCAGACTCGGTGACAAACTTGGGTCTCGTATTTCTTCCATAAGACCCGTGTGTGCCTTGTGCGGTTTTTTTAGGTAGCAGGCCGAACCTTAAGTTTGTAATCAACCTGAAAGCGATGCACTCATTGCACGACTGTTGGCAGCATTCGGTGTCCCAGACACGCTCTGGGTCAGGCGGCGCCCGGAGCCTCAGCCAGTGTCCACCCTGCTCCTGTGGACTCCCATTCTGGGGGGCAGGGTGGGGTACAGACGGGGAACCAGCAGTTTCCCGCAGCAGCTAAATGCCAGGCACAGAGCCCAGCGAGGGGTGAGCAGACACTGGTCCAGGTCCGGTCTTGGGAGCCGTCCCTACGCAGGGGGCGTGGATAGAGCTGTGAAGGGCGGGGATCTGCACGCACCTGGGCCGGGGGGGTTCAGGGGATGCACAGAGAGGACTGGGGATGGGAGGTGGGCCCAAGAGGCAACATAGAGAGTCATCTCCCAAGCCTCCACCCTGCCACTCCATGTTCCATATGAGGAAACTGAGGCAGAGTGCTCAGGGACCTGCCTGGTCCTCCTCAGAAGGAAGTCCTCGAGGCAGCGCAGTGGGCCCCTTCCCTTTCAGGGTACTTCCGACCAGTCCTTCGTGGGGCTCTGCTTCACAGCACTGAGCCGTGGGGGCATCTCAGACTCAGTTTTACTCACCGATATTGTAAGTTCTTTTCTTTTTAAATCAAATACCTTAAAGGATAAGTGTACCAAATGGGCTTCTTACTTTTTTTTTCTTTACTGCCTAAGGAAACTTATTTGTGGTGGTTGAAATAATGGGAAAGGGAAAAATGATGTCTCATACATCGTGGTTCTTGGAATTTAGGGAAATCCAACTGGAAAGCTCTAACCTCTCTACTCATTGCTGAGGGTGCATTTAAAAAGTTGGGTGTCTTAGTTTGGGCTGCTTCAACAAAATTACCATAGATTGTGTGGTTTAAACAACACACATTTCTTCTGGAGGCAGGAAGTCCCAGATCAAGGCACACGTGGGTCTGGGGTCTGGAGAGGCCCACTTCCGGGCTTGCAGCCGGCCGCTTCACAAACAAAGCACGGGGAGGGACACAAACTCTCGGGGCCTCTTGTTACAAGGCACGGACCCCATCCTGAGGGCTCCACGCACCACAGTAAGGCTTGGGCTTCCACTCAGGAACTGTGGAGGAACAAATAGTGGGTCCGCAGCATCAGGTGTTAATCGATGTCCAAACAGCTGCAACTCCTGATTGTTACTGAAGACTTACTTCTTCATTTGAGGCAAGACCCTGGACCCTGTGTCGTGGCACAGTACTGACCAGTCGAGCTGGCCCCGTCTTCTTGAGTGTCACTTCCCTCTTCCCTTTCCTGCTCCTTCTGCCAAAGTCTGTTGACTAACATGTCACCAGAGAGGCCTTGGCAGGTCTTGTCTCTTCGGGCCTGGCCACACCACAGGCTGACCCTGATGTGCCCATGACCAAGCAGGTTTTGGTCCCTTGTCCCTTACGTGGCAGGAAGGGCTCAGGCACTGGAGGTGGCTCTCGGGTCACTGGACAGGATGCCCCCCAAGCTCAGCCGGACATCCTGGTGTCCCCTTTCCCAGAATGACCCGGCTCAGATCCTTTGGGCTCGGAGTTAAATGTCACCCAGCCCCCCCATCACCACCGTTTCTGTGCCAGGCAGGATGCTGAACAACTTCGTGAGGAAGGGCGAAAGGAAAGGGGCGGGTGAGGAAGCAAGGATGAGCAAAGAGGAAGGGGCTCTGGCCTCACGGAGCCAGGAGGGCCCTCTTCCCTCCTTCGGGTCTTTAGGATGATTGGCTCGTGGATGGTCGAAGTTTGTCACCTTGTAGTCACGTGTCATTGCCCATCCTTGGCTTCTCTGAGGATCTTTCTGATTGGCTGTGGCTCAGCAAACACTTCCTGAGCACTGAGTGGGTGTTTTAATGCTGAAGGTGACTCCACGTGGCACACCAGTGGGAATCCACAAATCCCTGGGAGCCACCTTCTGGCACAGTGTAGCTGCAGGCAGCGGAGGGCGTGGCGGGGGCTTATCACGTTTAGATCAGTGCATTATTACACGCTTCCCCTCCCCCGCCGTGTGTGTGTCTGCATCTGTTTTAATCGCATGGAGCCCTGTTGCTCTCTGACTCCTAAGGCTAGGAGTGGGGTTCCCTGGCTGAAGAAGGCCCCCCCCCCCGAGGGCTCCACAGGTGCCATCAGACCCTGTAGGGCCCTTGATGCACAGCTTCCCATGTCGTGGTCGACCCAGGGGGTGTCTGGCTCTGTAAGGAGGCAGCTTTGCTCTCCTGGTTTGTTTTGGAAAACCCACCGTGACTTCCCACTTTCCCTCTGTGTCCTCCAGACACTGCAAAGGACTGGAATTTGGTAGCTGGGAGCCCCCGAGCTGTGCATAAAGATGAGTGACTGTGGGCAGGGGGCCCTTTTCAACAAAGGCCAAGCTTAGATAAAGAGCTGAAGGGCTGGATCTGGGGCTTTCCACCAGGCCAGCAAGTGGCCCAGAAACGCTTTACAGACCCGGGAAGGGCCGGGGTGGTTTCCATGTGCAATTCCTGCTCCAGGCTAGAGCCCCTCTTCTCTTACCTGAGCAGGATCTGTTCACTCTGTGTTTTCTCTTTATCTGGTTACATGCCATCCCTTGGAGAGCCTGCTTTAGTGTTTACAAACACCTGTCCTAGACCTGAAACCATAGAAATCCCAGAGGAGAGCACAGATAGTAATGTCTCTGATATCAGCCCTAACAACATCTTTCTAGATATGTCTCCTGAGGCAAGGGAAATAAAACCAAAAATTAACTGTTGGGACCTCTCAATTTTAAAAAGCTTCTGCACAGTGAAGGAAACACCAAAACTAAAAGGCAACCTACGGAATGGGAGAAGATATTTGCAATTGACATATCTGATAAAGGGTTAGTATTCAAAATCTGTGAAGAACTTGTAAAGCTCAACACCAAACAACAAGAATACAATTTAAAAATGGGCAGAAGACACGAACAGACATTTCTCCAAAGAAGACATCCAGATGGCCAACAGACACGTGCAAAGGTGCTCAACATCACTCATCGTCAGGGAAATGCAAATCAAAACCACAATGAGGTATCACCTCACACCAGTCAGAATAGCTAAAATTAACAACACAGGAAACGACAGATGTTGGCAAGGATGCAGAGAAAGGGGACCCCTCCTACACTGCTGGTGGGAATGCAACCTGGTGCAGCCACTCTGGAAAACAGTATGGAGGTTCCTCAAAAAGTAAAAATTGAACTACCCTATGATCCAGAAATCACACTACTAGGTATTTACCCAAAATATACAAAAACACTAATTCAAAGGATACATGCACTCCTATGTTTATTGCAGCATCATTTACAGTAGCCAAGATATGGAAGCAGCCCAAGTATCCACTGATAGATGAATGGATAAAGGAGAAATGAAGGTGTGTGTGTGGGGGGGGGCATATTACTCAGCCATAAAAAAAAGAAAGCGGTTTTGCTGTTTGCAGCAACATGGATGGAACTAGAGGGTATTATGCTAAGTGAAATAGAGAAAGACAAATACCATACGATCTCACTCATGTGGAATTAAAACAAAAGAGCAAAGGGGAAAAAGAGACAAACCAAGGAACAGATACTGATGGTCACCAGAGGGGAGGTAGGCAGGGTGATGGGGGAAATAGGCGATGGGGGTTAAGGAGGAGCGCACCTGTTGTGATGAGCACCGGGTGTTGTATGTAATGTGATGAATCACTATATTGTACACCCTAAACTATATGTTAACTATACGGGAATTAAAATAAAAAAAACAAATACCTTATTAAAATAGTATAGTAACTATGTATATTGATAGCTACACATAGGTATCAATTCATTTGAAAGTAATGAATCGGAAAGTATTTTTTCCCATAATTGGTCTGAAAGTCTATTTTTTCCTATACTTCATACATTTCCTAATTTAGACTCTTCATTCCATTCATTTGCAAGTTTGTTATAATACATCTTTTATTCAGTGAAGCAATTTAATAAGATATATAGAATTTCATGGGTTTGGTGACAGTATTCATGAAAGTGATGAAACCACATATTGTTGACTGATTTCTGTTATATCATAATTCATACCTTAAAATTCTTAAAAACTAAACAGAACCTGTCCTGCAGTTTTCAGCCTTGACTGCACGCCAGACTCTCCCGGGGCCTGTCCCCCGAGATTGCTGTGACTGGTCCGGGGTGCAGCCCGAGCGCCGGGCTCCCTCACAGCCCTGGAGATTGCGGTGTTTACCTGTGATTGACAACTATCAATTTGGTCTCCTGAATGGGACCGCTAGCGGCGTCATTCAAGAGAGAGAAGTTCTTTACTGCAGACTCAGACCCTAGTTCTCTGTTTCTGTATGCTGTTATGGAATTGTCGTTAGGAAGATCAGTGGTTCCACTGGGGGTTTGTCATCCTCCCTCGGAAACATCAGATTATATGCTTAAGTGTGAGTAGGCGCATCACCAGGCCACATCGTTGTTGGACATCAGCTTCTCCGTGATGGGGACCTTGGGTCACCCCAGGGGCCGGCTGCTGGAGCCTTCTTCCTTCCAGGATGCCAATTTCTGTTCTTCCCTGGAAGAGAATTCTGAATATCGAGAGAGGAATATGGCAACGCATTATTTTTTCCTAATTTAACTGCACTTTGAAACTTGCATTTAGGTTGTAGTGAGATAAACACAGTAAAACTGTTCAACTTTGTGGAAAGTGTGAGATGCACAGAAACATTTCTTTGTAAGTTTTGGACCTTCATGGTTCACTCATGAAGAACATCTTTAGATCATCCTGGCTCTGACTTGGCCCCCACCCCCTAACTGGGGAGCACTGTTCTTTGCTTTAATGAAGGCAGCCTGTCCTTTAGGAATGTCCAGAATTGGAATTTACAGAATATTGGAAGTGCTTTATGAATTTTAAAATAATGTTATTTCTGGTAATGGGTGTCCATTGTGAACTCCTTAGAAAATACAGGACCATGTAAAGAATTTATTGACCTATTGACCTTTCCCTAAAAATCACACGTAATTCTATTACTCAGTGATAACCATTGTCAGTTTAGAATTTATCTGCTTTTTTCCCCTATAATTAGATCCCTCTAGTTACCTAGATATGTAATAGGTATATACTAAAATGTTTTTAAAGATCATATTGAAAATGCAGTTAATGGGACATAAGCATTAAAATCTCACCAGCTTTTTTTTTTTTTTTTTAACGACCGCAACAAGATATGTCCCTTATATGGATGCACTTGACCAGTTCTCCCTGGTGGTGCAACGTTCAGTTTATGGTATTTTTCCGCCTTTCAAATTATCTTTCACAAATAGATTCCTAGATTGCTGGGTCAAAGGATTTTGCATGTTTCTAGTTAGCATTTCCTAGAGACACATGGGCGTTCAGACTTCTAAGGCGAGGACCCTGTGAGCAGCTTACCCAGGATGACCCCACGACCTAGGGGAGCAGCGTCCTGCTCAGGAGTTCTGGCCCCACTCAGCCAGATGCATACTCCCTGCTAACACCTGTTCTCCTCTCTTTCCTTCCCAATGGGATTCGCCTCCAGGACCCCGAGATGCAGTGCTTGTTGCTGTCAGGCGGAAAGCACCCCGTCCATCAGAACCACGTCCTTGTCCTCCCAGCTGATGGCGGGGGCAGCACGGCCCCCATCAGCTTCACCGGGGCCTTGAGGATCCCCGTGAGTACACGCGCCTGGGGCGAGTTTCAGGAAGGGGCATTTGTGCCTCCTGTTGGTGAGCAAGCTTAACAAAAGAAACCCGCGGTCATATACTCTGCCGCACAAATCAGAGGCTGCCGGCAGGCCATCTCGGGACTGGGTGAGGCTGCCATGTCTGTTTGCCTCACACTAAGCTTTCAGTTTTTCAAAACTAGTTGCCTGCATGTAGAAGTTCACCCATTTCGTTGACAAATAGGGCTTCCCATCTCCACTTGGGAAACCAGAACGTCTGGTTCCAGCAAGCCCCTTGCCCCGTGGCCCAGCCCCGCCCTGGGTCTGAAGACCCTGAGTGTGAGCCCCCCGGGGGGGGGGGGCACTGTCCCCAAGTCCCACTCTGGGGTGTTGGTGAGCCCACTCGGTTTGCTTTACCCTTTAACGTGCTTTCAGGAGAACAAAGCTGGTGTGTTGGAGCTGCACGTGCTAACGGAAGGAGTAGTGGGGGGAGTGTGCAGAGCCAAGGGAAAAGACAAGCCCCTGGGCACACAACGCTGCTGGTCCGCAGACTCTGTTCGTTGTTTAAAAATCAGAGTGCTGGGCCGTGCAGAGGCGGTGGGCCCTGGCTCCAGGCTGACGGGCACACGGAGCGCCTGCTGGCGGGCGCGCTGGTGTGTGGTCAGGGCGTGAAGGAGGTCCAGGGAGAGGTTTTTCCACACAGGGCAGGGAGCTGTGCCGTGGTGAGATTTCTTGTTGCTTTAGGTTTTTCTTGTATGAAATTCATGGGCTCCCTCAGCAGAGAATCTGGGGGGCTCACAAAGGACACGTGGAAAATGTGTTATTCTCACATGGCCAGCCATGGTGGGCAATGAAAACAGAGCCCAGGGCAGAAGCAGGTGGAGAGAGGAGATCGCAAACACTGCCCACGTAGGGGAGGAAGTCCAGGCCCGTGGACCGCGCCTAGAAACGTCTGGACTCCTGCCCTTGGGTGTGATGTCAGTGGAGCTGCTGCAGACCTCACACACAGACACGGTCAGCCTCACCAGCGCGGCCCCCGGTGAGAAAGGGCTGAGGGGGCACAGGCCCAGAGGCCCTTTAGCGACTGGGTGAGGCAGGAAACAAACAGTACACCCAGGACCTGAGAATCACGTCACCGAAGTGAAAGAACTTCAGAGAACTTGTGCTAGAGAACAGAAAGTCCTGGCAGCACCCAGAGAAGCTGGGCGTCCGGCCAGTGGCGAGCGTGGAAGGCCAGGCGGGGCTCCCAGAGCCACTGAGAATGTGGGCTGGCTGCGTTTAAATAAAAAGTCACCCTTAATAACAACTAGTAACTTTCCCGGTGGTGCCTTATAGTGCGTCTGCTCGGCTGAGGGTAGGACGCGCACAGTTACAGGGCGAAGGTGGCGCCGTGGCCCGGCCTGGCCACAGACGCGCTGGGGGTCCCAGGCAAGTGTGCCAGCCACTCGGAGCCTCTGTTTCCTCATCTGCAACGGGGCTCGGGGCCCGGTGCAATACTTACTGTTCCGAGGATTGAATGAGGTCGCTCAGGACAGTGGTGAGCGCCACGCGGGGCGTGTGGTCCTCATGCCATCGGCCCCGCGCACATCCTCGGACCGAGCTAGCCATCGTGAGACGCTAGCTCGGGTAATTCCAGAATCGCATAAATTCAGATTTGTGTTCTCTGCCTAGTTTGGTGGGTGTCCCTGTGCGCACACAGCGTGACACCCTAGTGTGACCCCGTGTCTCACCCAGACCTCCCCGAGATGTCTGGGATGCGTGTCTTGTGATGCCACGTCTTTCTAAGAGCAGAGCTCAGGTAGAACACAGACAGGACTCTGACAGCAGCCGTCAGACCGCAGGCCCCGGGGTCCTCGTCGAGACCCACATTTCTCTTCTTGGTATCTTCCCAGTGCCCCCACTTTGTCGGGTACAGGTCTGGGCACGCGTGTGCACTGTGACTGGTCGGAAGGCCTGTCCTGTGTGTGTCAGCCGCTGCGTGGTTTGCAGTGGTTTCCGGCAAAAGGAGAGAGAGCACCGCGTGCACAGTGACAAGCTGGCCCCTCCAGGCACGCTCTTTGAGAACTCCTTTAACAGCTAGGTTTCCAGAGCGATGTGGTGTGGGAATCAAATCAGCACATACTTTTATGGACTCTGATCTGACGTCAAGACCTTGGGTCTCCATCTGCAAAGATAGGCAGGTGCTGCAAGAGTGGCCATGGGCGGGTCCTCTGACCACCCCCGCCGCCCCCATCCTCGGGCGGCACCCTGCCCCGCAGATGCCGCCCCGCCTCCCCGCGGCTTCTGCAGGTGCCCCACCAGACAGACATGCCGGCTGTTTTTATGGGAATGAAGTAACTCATAATTGTGTTGCTGGTTTCAGTAAACCTGCTGTGTACACACTTGGGATAAAGCCTGGCTCTCTCTTTTCCAGGGTGTGATCGAGTTCTCCCTGTGTTTGCTGTTTGCAAAGCTGGTCAGCTATACCTTCCTCTTCTGGCTCCCTCTGTACATCACAAACGTGGGTGAGTATCTTGCTGGAAGCACCGATGTTACACTCGTGCAGGGGCTGTGATCTGGACTCCCTTTTACGTGCTGATTTCTAGAGCCTCATGATGCATGATGAGTTGAGACGTACTTTTGGATCAAACAGTGGGATTAGTAGAAAAATAGAGGCAAAAGGAGAATTCGGATATGGAAGTTGTATTACCATAATAACGCTGGTGGGGCTTAAGGGGACCCATGTTCCCCACTGTGGCTGCCAGCTCCGTGGGGCTCCTCCTATCTGGGGCGGCCTGCATTTCAATCTAGGCTACATCAAACTTCAGGTCACACCCTCCCGTGAGGAGGGGAGGCCCCGGGGATCTGAGATAATAAATGCTGAGTCATCTGACCTGGAAATTGCTCCTTGGAGGTGAGCTCTAGTTTTAGGGACAGCCAACAGCCTGTTCCCTAAGTCCGGCCGTGGCTGAAGCCGTAGATAGGACAGAATTCACTGGCCCACCAGAACCGTGCACCCCTGTGCTGTGTGTGACCACAGAGGGAAGGTCAAGAGGGTCACCGGCCGTTCTTAAAAGATGCTGGAGTGCAGGGGCTGCAACCATGGCTGAAGGGGGCTGGGGGACAGTCAGGGAGGGCCCTAGAGCCTCTGGGCCCAGGAGCCAGGGATTGCAAGGAGAAAGGAAAGAAACCAGGGCCCCGCAGAGATGTGGGCTCTGGGGAATGTGACAACGAGGGGAGATTTGGAACGTGGGGGTTCACAGAGCACAGACCAGTGTCGGGGAGGAAGACCTTCCTCTGCCCCGTGGTGCTTCTAGCTGGACTTAGAATCAAAATGCCAGGGGCGCCTGGGTGGCTCAGATGGTTAAGCGTCTGCCTTCGGCTCCAGTCATGATCCCAGGGTCCTGGGATCGAGCCCCACATCGGGCTCCTGGCTCAGCAGGAAGCCCTCTTCTCCCTCTCCCTCTGCCTCTTCCCCTGCTCATGCTCTCTCTCTTTCTGTATCTCTGTGTCTCAAATGAATAAATAAAATCTTTTAAAAAAAAAAGAATCAAAATGCCACGTGACAGATGCCCAGAGAAACTCACAGTTAAGAGCATGCGTACGGGGAATCCACACAGACGGGGACAGTTCAAAGACAGTGAGGCAACATGAAACTTACATGAACTCAGGAGCGGGCATGGGTCTGGGGGTACAGGGGGGCGAAAGCACACTAGCAGGCAGGTGAGAGGAGGTGTTTGGAAAACACAGGGCTGCCCCCTTATGCAGATCAGTTCCTTAGATAAAGGGGAGTCTTTGGTAATAGCCCCCTCGCTGGTACAGGCTTGCCCTCCCACTGTAAACCTGGGCAGTTGTGGGGGAGGCAGAGAGCTTTTCCTGAATCTGCTGGGTTTTAATTGCTTTAACTCGAAATAAACTTTTTTAGATATTTATTTATTTATGTAGAGAGTGCATGAGCAGGGGAATCTCAAGCAGACTCCACCCTAAGCTCAGAGCCTGACGTGGGGCTCGATCTCATGACCCTGAGATCATGACCTGAGTCGAAATCAAGAGTCAGATGCTTAACCGACTGAGCCACCCAGGTGCCCCCTTAACTCAAAATAATCTTTATGCCAATGTGGCCCATCCTGGGGCAGCCTGCCCTGGGCCCCAACACCGCATATTCCCGGTGGTCACTAAGGACAAGCAGAGGTGGCCGTGAGCCCGAGGCAAGAGGGCTGGGTTTCACAGGGACAGCAGTGAGGCAGTAAGGGGACCGTCCACATTGGGGGGACAGTAAGGAGCTGCTCCCTGTCACGTGACTCCATTAGGGCAGGCAGGCCACATGCAGCGTAGACAGGTGTCCTACCTTCTTTCTTCCTTTGTTCCCTGCGATTGCAGAAGGGGTGACATTTTCAGGACTCTAGTCACGAATTGCTGGCTTTCCCAGTCCCAGTGATTAAAAAAGCCAAGTCCCTTGTATGTGGCACCGAGGTCACCAGGAAAGGCTGGACTTGACCCACGGTCCCAAATGCTTCCCCAGCCCACTTCTCCTGCACGGGCCAACCTGAGTCCCCTGGGGAGTCCAGTGTGGCTTCCTCCTCTGCTGTATGAGGAGCTCCAGTCCCTCCAGACCTAAAGCCTCAGGGTCAGCCGGCCAGTGTCCGCGGCCCTCCTGCCGTGCCAGAGCCTCTCTGTGCCAGGCAGTTCTTACCACCTTCTCCGCTGCACCCAACTTACGGCCACCCCTGGGGGACACTGAACCAGAAGGGATGGTAATTAGGCTGAGCCGGGCACATCCTCATTTCTTGGTAAAGAGTGGCTTTGGTCTTTTCTGTGCATTTACCTGCATAGGGGACTGCAGAGTCAACTCCTAGCTGCTATTGGTGTAAGTCACCCTTAGGACACAAACGAGTGCCACGTGTAGTCTTCCTTTGCTGTGACTTGCTCACAAGGACGCTTGTCGTTTTGTTAGATCACCTGGACGCCAGACAAGCCGGGGAGCTCTCCACCCTGTTTGATGTGGGCGGGATCTTCGGTGAGTCCTTCCCTCCCTGTTGTACTTGGACGGAAACTTTGCCCGCAGTAGGTGAACACCTGGGCCTGTGTTCCCTCTGAGCTGACTTCCTATTGAGAGGAACACACGATCCCCAAAACGTCACATCACCCGAGTGGACGTATGGCCGTCCCTCTGGGGGACGGTCCCCTGTCCCGCATCTGACTCCGAGCCCGAACTGGCGATCCCTCGGAAGCAGGGAGCAGGGGCCCGCCTCGTAGCAGGCGGCAGACTGGTGGTTTAGGTGCCCTGACAGCGAAGGGGCTTCAGGGCCAGCCTGGAACTAGACCCAAGACTTGCCCTCTGTCTCACGGGGAGATGCCCCCGGGTCGCCCACATCTGCCCACGGTCCCACGAGGCCTGTTCACTGAGATGGTGAACATGGACAGGGACATGGGGAAGGAGTGGATTCTCTTGTATACTCTACTTCCTCTCCATGGGCTCTTGCCCTGGGGACCCAAGCACCCTGGGCCTCACTCCGCTGTGTTGCAGGTGGGATCCTGGCAGGTGTGATCTCAGACCGGCTGGAGAAAAGGGCCTCCACCTGTGGCCTGATGCTGCTGCTAGCGGCCCCGACGGTGAGTCCGGCCCCCCACTGCACCCCTGCCCTGTCCGGGCCCCAAGCCTCCAGAAGCAGGCTCCCTCCCCGCCTGTAAACACTGTCACGTCCCGCCCAGACTCAGCCCCATTCATGGCTCATGGTTTCTGGATGCCGGCTATAACCTCCGGACCCCTCAGTGTGCCCCTCAGCCTGCCAGGCCCACTCCCCTAGACGCCTCCCGTGCTCCCCTGCACATTGCCGGCCCACCTCTTCGTTCATCCCTGGCTCCCTGTGGGGTGCTCCCTCCCCAGCCCCTCTCCCCTCCCCCACAGGCTCCTGCTCAGCCTCTAGGGTCCCCCACCTCCCCAGGCAGCGCTGACCCTGCCCACCATCGTGCTGGATTCTGCTTTTCATGCATTTGGTGGCACACGACCTCGGGCAGGTGACCTTCCCTCTCCGGGCCTGTTTCCTCATCTGAAAACTGAGGGTGCTGGAAGCACCCCTCCCAGAGGGAACGTGAGGGTTTCTAAATCAGTTCATGGTAATTTTGGGAATAATGCCATTACTCATCAACTTGCATTGCACGCATCTGCCCATCTGCTAGTCCACCGGGCCGTGTCCCCAGGACAAGGCCTAGCTGCCGGTCACCTGGGGGCCTGGGACACTGGCCAACACAGACCCTCCAAAAACCTTTACTGAGCAAGCGTCAGTGTGGCCCCTGCCGCAGGACCCCCTTCAGCCGCTGCAGCTGTTCGGGGGGACAGGCTGAGGAGGAGACGGTCACACGAAGCCCAGGGAGAGCTGCCCCAAGCCGCGTCCGGCAGCCCTGGGAGCTCAGAGGGGGGGGCACCGTGAGGCCCCACATGCGGGGGCCGAGGCTGGGGACTCCCGAGCGCCTGTCTTCCTCTCCCGCTGGCTGCCTGAGAATCCCCTGCCTGGCGTTTCAGAAAGACAGGCTCCTGGGCGGTGTTCGGCTGCCTGTGCTAACCCACAGTTCCCCTGTGTTTACACCCTCGGCAGCTCTACATATTCTCCACCATCAGCAAAATGGGCCTCGAAGCCACGATCGGTGAGTCCGTGAGGCTTTTCTTCTTGCACGCACGGGTTCTGTCTACACAGCTTGCTGAGACAAAGTAGAAAATCGGCACAGATTTGGCTGGTATGGCTGGAGCGTTGGTGTGGCTACAGTAGGCCCGTGTCCCTCTCTGGGCGGGACGCCTGCTCCCCGAGGGAGGCCTGCCCGTCCGCAGCTCTGAGCGCAGGCTGCCGGCTCCGGGGCCACGAGGAGGCCCCCAGAGAAGCCCGAGGCCTGCAGCCCTGGTGGGCGGGAGCGGGCTGGAGCGGGGCAGGGGACACGCTTCCAGCTGGCTTCCATCACCTGCCATCCTGAGAGCAGTTGCATGACACTGGGGGACTATTTTTAACTTCCTGCAGGCAGCGCTATCTGATGATGGCTCTAACAGTTGGTAAATACTCTTTCTGTCATAACAAGCTGGCCGTGGGGATCGGGAAGGAAGCAGGCTGTGTGTGATCCCATCAGAAGTTATCCAGAAGGCAGGTTGCTGACGTGAGGGACCGTGGGGTTTCCCGTGACCTGGTGGTCCAGAAGCTTCTGCACAGAGTGTGAACCAGAGGCTAGCTTGAGAAAGTGAGCCTGGAGGACCGTGTGCAAAGCGTGTGTTCAGAAATAAGCGTGTTATGCCGCCCTCGGGTGCTCGGCTACGCCGGGTCTCCGGTTCCCCCCAGGGAAGCAGCAGCTGTGGGTGCTGAGAGAGAGAGAGCCCTTTCCGCTGCAGAGAAGTCCGTGGCAGGGGTTGGCGCCCGGCCAGCACCGATGACAGGGACACTGGCACGCCCAGGGCACGGTCACACTTGGAGCACCAGGGTTCTGCTCGCTCCTGGGGTGTCCCCAGCTGCCCCCATCGAGGGTCGAGGAAACGGGAGTACCGGGCCCTCTGGACACAGCCGGAGCCTTCGGGGGAGTGTGAGAGGACTTACAAACACATCCGGGCAGGTTTAAAGGAAGATGCTCACCACACTGGGCCCGCCAGTCACCGCACCCCAGACGTGCGGGCCGCCTTCCCAGCACCTGCCTGCGTGCGTTCCGCTCAGGCCAGGCCCGTGCCTGACACCAGGCTGCTCACCCCGGGGCGGCTGAGGCCGTGGAGGCTCTCCCAGAGGGCACTGTTTTGCTACTAAATCCCTCCTTCTCGTTTCTGGTTCCCACAGCCATGCTGCTCCTCAGCGGGGCCCTGGTCAGCGGGCCGTACGCCCTGATCACGACCGCCGTCTCCGCCGACCTGGTGAGTGGCCACGCGTCTGAGCTCGGAGCAGAGGCAGGGGACGGTCCTCTCGGCCGTTCTTGACAGAGACGGTCGCTTTTAGTAAAACCGTGTCTTTGTAGAAGCAGCTTTTTCCCTATGAATGATACCTATGCTTTTAAGAGTCTTCTGAAGCAAATGCGGGGAGATACTGTCCCTGTTCCATACACCAGGGCGCCGAGTCGAGGTGAAGGGGCTCGTGTGAGGCCCGGGGTCAGAATCCAGCTCACTGGCTCACTCCTCCGTGCTGCCCTTGCTTAACCCCGGGGGCTGGTGGCCGTGCACCCCGGAGCCCGGCCTCGGGGCCCAGATCGGAGACCCAGTGGGGTCGGCTCCTCCCTTCATCCAGCCCCCTCTGTGCCTGGCCCTCTGCGGGTCTGCCTTGGGATCCGCAGGAATAGCTGCCCCACGCTTCCCACAGGAAGAGGGTGCTGACAAGGTGACCTTGGACTCCTGATCAGGAGAGCCCGAGCTCCATGCTCCTAGGACCCCGTGGAGGCAGGGCCACCCTCATCCACCTGCCATGAGAGACATTTCACACGGTCGTCAGATGCCCCCACCTGTAGGGAACGCTGCACCAAGATACAAAGTCCTCTTTAAAAAGTCGTTGCCCTACACAAATGGGAGAAAAGAGACAGATGCCCCGTACAGACTTTCCGTGGATGCTCTGTCCTCAGAGAGCCTCACTCTCTTAGGTGTGGGCTGCACACAGCGAATTCCTCCCAAGGAGGGGGGAACGGGGTGGCTACGGGGGGACCGGTCAGACACGCCCACCAGGGGGCCGCGGCCAGCGCCGACAGTGACAGGGCGTGTGACAGCCTGCACCCTGGGCACGTACCCGAGGATGGCACTGCACTTCTGTGGCCTCCCTCCCCAGACCCACCACCCGGTCTCCTCACAAGGAAGGCATCGCACACGGCCCAGCGGAGGGGCGATCCGCTCGAGGCTGCGGCGGCGTCGGACAGAGAGCAAGCGTGAGGAACCGTCAGGAGGCGTGCGGACTGACCGTCACGTGGGGCCCTGGACAGAGGAGATCAAAGTAGACAGAAGCTAGCACCCAGCGTGTTAGGTGATGCTGACCATCAGTGCTAGGCCCCTCACAGTGACAGCTGTGACACAAAGTGGGTGCAGGGCACACAGCCCTGTGTACGATCAGGCAGAATTTCCGGGCACCTAAGACTGTTCGAAAATTAGAAGCTCATTCAAATTCCTAAGCAGTCGCCCAAAGCTGGTTCGTCGTCTTGTGGGCCGGATGGCTGGCCTCCCCTCCCCGACGGGCCCCCGAGGCCCCCGGAACTTTGCGGCCCCTCCAGGGACCCTGCTTCTCTTCTGCACCTCCCTCAAGTCCTCCCAGAATCAGACCCCGAACTCACCAGCCCCTCGCTCATTCTCCTGCTTGGAAACCGTGGCAAGTCCGGGCGGCTGCGGACCCCGCGCCTGCCCCCTACCCTCCTCTCCGGGCCGGGCATCTCCCTGACACTGCGCCTTGCCCAGCGACATCTGTGCTGTCCTCAGCACCTGAGGCCCTTCCACATCCGAGACAACCAGAGGCCCTGCCCTGCCAGGTCAGCCAAGAGAAGCGGACGGAGGGGCACTGGGGAGTCCGGTAACAGGCCCACCTTTGTGCTCCTGTCTGCACGGGGCACAGAAAATTCTGGAAGGGTCCACACTGGACCACTAACAGTCGTCTGCCCCATGGGATCAGAGGACAGAAGAGGGACTCCAGACTCCAGAAAACGTGGATATCACTTCGTGTGTGTGCTTTATTTTGTATACTTATGTGGACCCACACACAAGCATCTGTTGTTGCCATCTTGGGTTTATTTGTGTAGCTTTAGGCTTCCAGGCACTGTTCTCCCAATGTTTTTTTTTCTTTTATTGTCCTCCGTTTGTTTCTTTCTCCCAACCTTCTATGTCGTGCTTTCTGAAAACCAGAGCTCCTGTGGGTTTGTCATTTTGGACTTGGTGACCCCCACATTGGCTTCTTGGGTCCTGCCCCATTCCCCATCCTCCGTGGCATTTGCTGAGAACTGGGTGGGTTTTTAGGTACTACAGAGCCATCTGGCACGTGTCACAGAAAGGCCCTCGCGGGTCGTGGAAGTGGGCATCAATCCTGGCACAGCTCAGGGACAGGGACGAGTGTCATCCGTGTCTTTATCTTCCACATGGGCTGGTGGGGTGTGCTGAGTAAATATTTGCTTAAGGAAAAATTCTGAGAGTTCTTTAAACCAGAATATGTTTGGACAGTTATTTCTGATGATTTCTTACTGTTGAAAACCCTTAAACTTTGTATGTCTTTCCAAAGTGAGTTTGGAATGGAGTAGAGTTTAAATTTTCTGATGGAAAACACCCCATGTTTTGAATTGCTTTGCAAAGTTGTTTGGGCAAATTGCTGAAGGAGGGGCAGGCTTGTTTCTCACTGAGGCTGCCCAGATGTGCATCACGTTTGCTGTCCCCTCTCTTCTAGGGCACGCACAAAAGTCTCAAGGGAAACTCCCATGCCCTCGCCACTGTGACCGCCATCATCGACGGGACTGGGTCTGTAGGTGCGTGGATATTTTTAACTCTAAGAGGTTAATTGTGGTCATAGGGGAAACCGGATTGTCACATCCTAATTAACAATTGCCAAGGATTCCAGGTGCTTTGGTAATATTAGGATTGGCTGGCCTTTTTTTTTTTTAACTGCATGAAACACTCTTTACACTATTGTTGCAATGCTTATTATTGGGGTACCTGGCTGGCTCCATCAGTAGAGCATGCCACTCTTGATCTCAAGGGTTGTGAGTTCAAGCCCCACGTTGGGCGTAAAGCTTTAAAAATAAATAAATAAAAATAAATAAAATTCAAAAAAAAAGATTATTTTTCAAGAATCAAAGATTCTTTTTAGTTAGATGGTATCATCATGCTAGTAAAAGTATCTTTTTTGTCTACAAATGAGTGCAACACTGTAATTTAAAAATATAAAGGTTGATATGGGATTTGGGCACCAGAGCCTTAAAAATGGCAGAGTTCAGAAGAAAGAGTCCCTGCAACACGACAGTTCTTTACAGACACAGGGAAGGAAAATGTCAACAAGCAAAGACAGAAACTCCCCTTTCTTAGTAATTTTACAAAAGGAACTTAATTAAAAATTTAATCTTAATACATAATCACATATAAAATCTAACTTGACAAAATGGAAAACATCTCTCATGTCATAAATATGGTACTTACATGCACTCAATAATTTAATTATAATTTTTACTGATGAAAAAGTATGGTATTCATAATCACTTAAAGTTCAATTAATATTTCGGCAGAGTTGCTAATGTATGTTAATCATCTATTACAAAAACCAGCTAAGGGCAATTTGATTAGTGTAGTTGCCACAGAGTTCAGATAATTGTTATTGACAAGTTTAGATCATTTAATGAAAAAAAAAAGCTCTAACAGTTGTTACTGTGAAAAACTGATGTTTTCTAAGACCAAACCATGGCACGCACGCAGACTCAAGGAGCGTGCAGCAAAGGGTGAGGACTGGGTCCCCACGTTCAGTCTAGGGGCAAGACCCTGCGTAGCAGAACACCAGCTCACCCAAACACATCCATAGCGTTTCCAGTATGTTACAGAATTTTCATCAATCAGATTTTTAAAATTTCAAGTAGAAAACGTAATTCCAAGATAGGATGTTCAGATCAATTTCAGTATTCAAAAAGCTCAGTCCCCATTCAGAAACAGATAAACAGTGTACTTATTAAATGAGTTAAGACACATAAACCTGGGCGCCTGGGTGGCTCAGTCGGTTAAGCATCTGCCTTTGGCTCAGGTCAAGATCCCAGGGTCTTGGGATCAACTCTTGCATCGGGCTCCCTGCTCAGCGGGGAGCGTGCTTCTCCCTCTCCCTCTGCCTGCCGCTCTGCCTACTTGTGTTTTCTCTCTCTCTCTCTGTCAAATAAATCAATAAAATCTTAAAAAAAAAAAAAAGACACATAAACTTTACAAACAGACAAATAATAAGGGACAGCTTGGCCTTTTACAGAATTGATCAGATCAAAAGCATGTGCTGATCTGGGGTACATGGGCGTGCAGGCGTCTGTCCCCTGGTCGGGTGGCTCCACAGGAAGGACGGGCACGGGACTGGTTGCAAGTACTTTCCCTCCGTGGGAAAAAACGCACGCTCAGGTTTTCACCGAAGCCAGCTGTTGGCAAACTGCGACTGCGGTCGCTGGTCCCGTTTATCACTCCCACTCAAGACGGGAATTAACCATTCCCTTAACCCAATACAAACGGCAGGAACACTAATAGGTCCCCAGGCATACAAGATGCAGGTGTTACCAGCCTCGTTATGGTTCTTTTTTTATTTTTAAAGAGGCTCATTTTATTTTTCTAAAGATTTATTTATTTATTTGAGAGAGAGAGAGCATGAGTGGTGGGGGTGGGCGGAGGGCGAAGCAGACTCGCCACTGAGCCCAGAGCCCAACACGGGGCTCGATCCCACGACCCATGAGATCATGACCTGAGCCGAAACCAAGAGTCAGACACTTAACCAACTGAGCCCCCCAGGCGCCCCTCATTACGGTTCTCGAAGAGCATTCAGTAGCATATTCTGGAGGAAAGAAAGGTGGCAAAATAAGCAAGTCCTTCACTCAGAGATGGTCAGGTGGGAACCAATATAGTGACAAGCGTGTTCTTACCGACAAGTCAGCAGGCTGACGGCAACGTTCTTGACCTTTCTCGAGCCTTCCTGCCAGGAGCACATGTGCTGTGACCACCCCCTACCAGGGGCCCTGCCCTGCACAGGGTACCTGCCGTCCTATACCTGCCCCTCTCCAGACGTGGGGAGCTGAAGCTCGGGAGGTTGGCTGGTGTGGCGCCCACGGCTACCCAGGAGGACCTTGGGTGGCATCCCGGTGTCACCTGCTGCCCCAGGCTCCCACAGGAAGGGGACCGTGAGAGAGAGGGCAAGCTAGATGGGGGGGGACACCTGGGCATCTAGGACGATCTCACAGCAGTAAAACCAAGCTCTTTCCAGACAAAGGCGGCTCAGGAAGAGCACAGTTCCACCTGAGCCTGGCTCCTGGGGCTGTCCTTCCACACCACTGTGGGAAGCTGAGATTTTCTCTTGGCGGTCCCCAAGGCCCTTTGTGCTAGCTGGATAGAGACAGCCACCGTCCACTCCTGGACACCCACTGCTGTCTTACTAATGGAGAATCTGAAGTCCTTCCCGCCGCTCTCCCAAGCCACGTGGCCTCCCTGTTGATGCCTGCAAACACCAGTGTGTCCCCGTGCAGGGCCTTTGCACGGACCGTGTGCTGCGCCCGAGGAGCTCCCTTCGGGGACCTCATGCCTGTGCCCTCGTGCCCTTGGAGTCTTGGCTCAGCTATCACAGCTGGAAAAAACTCAAGGCTCTACGTACTTGCTCTGTGTATGACATACAGACACAGTGAGCCTCTACGCAGTTGCTCTGTGTACGGCACAGAGCACACAGGTCCTCTGTGGGACCTCTCGGCCTGTCTGGAAGGCGGACCCCCGTCACCCGCACTCAGGGTGCCTCTTCCCTGGAGTCTCTTGTCCGCAGCACATTCTGCCTGTCAGCTCTGTGGACCTGGGTGGAGTCTGTGTGCTCCGATCTCTGCTGAATTCTCAGCACAGAGACAGCACCTGGACATAGTAGTCACTGAGTAAACGAGCATGAAATGAATGGCCCGGGTGCTCTGAGACACCCAGGATCGCAGGTGGGGCCAGGCCACTTCTGTCCAGGCCGCTGAGTTCACAGGGGAGGGGCCGGGCCAGCGAGGCCCTGGGCTCGCCGCAGCCCGCACGACTCATCGGGACAGGGCCGCCCACCTCTGGGTCACAGGAGCCCTGTCCGTGCTCCGACTGCCATTCCCGGGGGCTCCGGCAGCTGGCTTCATGTGGCAGGTCCCGCGTGTTCCAAGATGCACTAAGCAAAGTCGCCGTTGCGAGGGGGCCAGGCTTGAGCGTCTGTTTTCCTCCAAAGTCATACCTGCCCCATTTTTGGATCCGGCGGGGGAGGTGACTGAATTTGCTGGGCAGTGTTAGCAGCCACCCCTCTGACGTTTCGAGGCACCCCTCGGGGCCTGGGGATGCGTCCAGAGAGAGGGTAGCGGCAGGCGTGTGGGGGGCAGCACAGCTCTGTCTGCGTGCAGGGTCCACAGCTCTGCTCAGTCACGTAGCTCGGCCGGGGAGACACACACATCGGTCAGAAGTCAGGACGCTTCTGGGCTGAGCGCAGTTCTAATGAGCCTCGTGACTTTGAACCACCTTCTGTCCCCAGAGGACAGATGGCGAGTCAGCCCAGCTGCCACCGTGAAGCCGTTTCTTCAAGCAGACTTGCACCCTGCCGGCGGCCCCCATAGCTGTTTTCGAGCAGAGGATGGCAGTTTACAAGGAGGGAAATTGTGAATCAGGTGGAAAAACATGTCTTTCCTGATAGTCTTCTCAAAACAAGAGGGAGCAGAAGGGCCTGGCTGAGGATGGAGAGCGCGTCTGTGAGCCGCCAGTAGAAACCAAGGCTCAGCTCAGAGCGCCTCCCCCCCACGAAAGACAGCAGAGGGTAACCATCTCCCACCTGGCCCCTGACCTGCAGCCCTGCCAGCCCCCAGCCCGCAGGCCGGGCCACAGCCACCATGCAGCAAGCGGCGCCTGTCGTTTCTCGCCGTAAGTTGCCCCCGCCACACAGGAGAAAGAACAGCTCGAGTGGAAATGCACGCCGTTCAGAGCGTTCACCTTGACGCCTTTGTTCGATGTTGCCAGTCCTGGTTTCGACGGAGGCTGAGCTCAGCTCGTGGTAAATAAGCCCGTGTCTTCTTGCAGCTCACTGGGGCCCTGTGGTTCCAATGATGCAGTTTACCCGTTTGGTGTGTTCCCAGCGCTCTTGGGGTGGCCTTCCCGTGGGACACGAGGCTCATTGTGTCTGTGTGTCGTACACAGAGCAACTACATAGAGCCCTGAATTTTTTCCAGCTAATTTTTATCTTATCAAAGTAAAACGTGATGTCACTTTCGAGGCCAGATAGCCTTACAAGCTAATTACGATGGAAAATGTTGGTCCTTGTGCGCCCCCCGCCCCCAGCTCCCTCCTCCTAGAAGCAGCCATTTCAGCTGGTCCCCCTGGTCTGACTTGCATACGAGTCTACATGCTCCTCCATTCCTCAGGCTGACACTGTCTGCTGTCCTCCTAGGAAGGAGGCTGGGGCTCGGCTTTTGTGCCCCCGAGCCCCCTTCCCCATCCTCCTCAGCACCCCTCATCATGTTAGCATCGCTCATGCTCGCTCCCTTGCTTCCGACCATCAGCAGTGAGGGGCCGCCTGGCCCCGCTGCTCCCGCGCCTCACCCCAGAGCCTCTTCCCCCGCCTCCTGCGACCCCTTCCATCACGTGCCCACCCATCTTCTAGCCGCCAATTCCGCTCCTCTTTGATGGAGGAGACTTCCAGTGGCTTCCTGAGTAGTAGCTTGAGGGTTGGGAGTCTGCACGGTCTGGATTCTGCTCTAGCTTGTAGATATGAATCCCAATCCCGGGCTAAAAGTCGTTTTCTTCAGGATTCCAGCGTCTTATAGCTTCCCTGGTCTCCGTTGTGAAGTCCATTGTCATCTTCGTCCCAGCCCTCATTTCTGCCTCTGCCTGCTTCCCCCAAAGACTTCTGGGCACCTTTCTTCATCCCCTGTGCCCGGGGCCGCCACCCAGGGGCCCACCTCGCCTGGAGACACATGCCCTTCCTCTCCGCGAAATCCTGCTCTGTGTTTTCTTTGACATGTTTCCCCTACTGCTGTCTGTTTTTAATTCCTGGAAAACTGAATAGTCAGAGGTTAACCTTTCTGGGTTAATCCTTCAATTTTCTTCTTTCTTTTTTCCTTCTTTCCTTTTTCTTTTTTCTCTGCTTTCTCAGAGATGTTCTTGACTTTACTTTCCAACCTTCACTTTGGTTGTCTAATTCATTAACATTTTTCTGCCCCTTGAGTGCATCTCATTTTTTGTGGGGTTTTTTTGTTTTTTTTTTTTTTTGCAGTTCTATACCTTTATTTGACAATCAGCAATTCGTTCTCATCCGCATTGACTGTAGATTTTTGGAAGTGGTGACAGGTACATAGGTAAACGACATAGAGAGCTTGCTTGAGAATCTTCATCCTTGTTACATTTTCTGGACAACCGCACACAGATACCGTATGGAACATTCCCTTCTTCCTTTGGCCCAGACGGCATTGTTGAGCCAGGTGTCAATGCACACATGCAGAGTTCCAGCTCCTTCACGGTGAATTTCCGGATCTTTTTGCATGCCCCAGGGGCATGCTTCTTGAAACCCACTCCGTGGACGTGCTTGTGAACATTGATGGTGTGTTCTCTGACCACTACGCTGTTGATGGCAGACAGCCCTTCCCACCACCCTTCTCTGCGGGAACCTTGTGCGGCGCCGTGTTGGAAAGGAAGGGCGTGAGCTACTGTGGGGGAGGGGAAGCCTAGTGCATCCTGTTCTTATTTCTTGGGTGCAGCATGTGTTAGATTGAATCGTGAAATTGCTGATCCTGGTTTTCAGGTATCAATGTGAGAATATCGTCTGGTTCAACTTAAGTTTCTATCAGTTCTTTGAGGGTATTACAGCTTTCTGGGCATTTTATCCTCCCCAGTTTGTTGATTTCCTCTGAGTTCCCCTCCTCCCTGCTTGTTTGGGACTTTCCTCAGACTGATGAATCTGGCCGGCCCTTCATATATTCGTATTTAAGAATGAGCCACTGAGCACTTACTGGAAGCCCTTTGTGCATGAGATGGCATATCAACCGCTGATCTTCACAGTCATGGGATCAGACTGGAATCTGGAGAAGGAGACCACCAGTGCCCGCTGGGGTGTGGGCCTTGAGACAGCATTCCGTCGTGGGGGTGGGGAGGCGCCTCCTTGGTGGAAGTGGTGGATTTACCTTCATTCCCTGACTCAGTCGCTGCCCCATCCCCACGCGAATCCCCAAGCCCAGCGCCTCTGGTTCACAGTCTCCAAAGGCTGAGGGGCTGCTCTCTTGTGAGGGTGGGGGGTGGTCCCTGGAGTGATGCTGAAGGAGCATCAGGAGTGTGAAGGGACGTATCCAATAATTCTTCATAAAAGATTCTCACCCACGGCCTACCTTCCCTCACCTTCCACCCTCCCCTGCCTCGTGTGCGTGGACGGGCCTGGCTCTGAACAAGGAGTCCTCAGGCCGTCACCCGTCACTCTCCGAGCAAGGAGACTGGAGCCCATGTCCTTGTCGTGCCCTTGAAAGTCCATCCTCTAAGAATGGTGCCTTCTCTCATCTGCCCTTCTCTTTGTGGGCTTACAATTTGTTAAATTCACGTGTGGCGCATTTTGTGGTGTTGGGAGGTGTAGAAATAAGCACATGTGAGCAATCTACCGTGTTTACCTGGAAGCTCCCCTGAGACTTAACACACATGCAATCACTTCTCAGGTATACAGGTAGTAAAGGCTACCTGTAAACACTTGGAACAACATTAGTACGTACGAAGTGCGAAAGACCCCCATACTCTACCTCTCGGGGCGAAGTGTCAGGAAAACTCGATGTAGATTCTTCGTACTTTTGACTGTGTTGAAACGATGACCCACCCTATCACAGATCATAATCTATTCCTGTCTCTTAGGACAATAAAGGCCCAAACTGCTGCAACATTCTTGGATATCTTTGGGCATTTTGAGGAATGTTTGCTTTCTTTCATTTTCATAGTCTCTCAGAAATCATTTTGACATAATTTTAGACTTACAGAAAAGTTGCAGAAATAGTACAGAGAATTCACATATCCTACATCTGCTTCATCTGCTCCGTGTGCACACACACATTTGTACCACACATGTATGCACACGCACACGTAAGAATATGCATATGTGTATTTTTTCCCGAACTGCTTAGGGGCAAATTACAGACACGCTGCTCCTTTACCAGGACCTATGTATTCTGTGGGCATTCCCTAAAGACAGAGAAGCCCAGGATATAACCACAGCACCTAATTATCAGAATGAGGACGTTAGCACTGATACAGTATTTAGTGCCTACAAACCTTACTCGTGTTTTACCAATTATACGTCTCATAACATAAACATATCTAAGATTGTGCTTTAGATTCAGATTTCTTTAATAAAGTTTTTCACTGGGATTGTTGGGTCCGAAGAATGAACGTTTTAAGGTCAATATGTGTTTTTAGATTTGCTTCCAGAGAGAGGTTGTGCTGGCCGCACCGTCACGGTGCTGGGTACTCGTGAGCTTTCCATCCCCACCAGCCTGAGCGGCGAGAATGAGTTTTTGTTGTTTTAACATGTTTTCTGTTAACCATGAAGGTGGTGTTGAGCACCGTGCTGTGTACTCCTGGGGCCTGGGTATTCCGGAGCCAACTTCCGGAGTCTTCCTCACACGGCTCACCGGTGTCCCTTTGCCCCCTCCCAGGAGCAGCCCTGGGCCCTTTGCTGGCTGGGCTCCTGTCCCCATCTGGATGGAACAATGTGTTCTACATGCTGATGTTCGCAGACGCCTGTGCCTTACTGGTAAGTCTCTCTGATTGTTGACCGAACGCTGGGGACACTTCTTCCAGGGGAACCGTGGGTCTCAGGGAGGCTTGGCCTGTGACAGAGCCCGACTTCCCTGAGTGCTCATGATCCGAGGTCTTCCTCTTTCTGGTCTGAGCAAACGTCAGAGCAGAAGCAAGCCCATCCTGCTCTGCAGCTTTGGGCAGGATGGTAGGGAGGCAGAGAGCAGGGGTACCCTGGCGTGGGACCCCAGCCCTGTCATCCGTCGGCGGGTGTGCGCCTGGAGCAGATGACTCAGCCTCTGTCCTGCAGCTTCCACGGTGGTTAAATGGGCATAATAATAGCACCCCAAGACAGGACTATCGAGGGGACTGGAGGAGATGGCAAGCCGAAACCCACTCCTACATGGCGATCCCCGTTGCCCCCATGCTCCTCCTGCATCTGGCAGCACCCTGGGGAAGCAGCCCGACTCCCAGCACCCAAAGGGATGGGAAAGAAGGAGCAGAGGCTATGGGGACAGGCGCCCAGCGCTTCTGTTGGCGACCCTGCTCTCTGGTGGCTGCCCTAAGATTTGGGTGTGCTGCAGGGCAGACGGGACCCGGCACAAGTCAGAGGCGTGCAGCGCGGCCCTGGGAGTGGCTAGTGGGCACGGAGTCCCTGACCTGAAGCCACGTGCCTGCCCTCGCTTCCCCAGAAGACGCCTGACGTTGATCCCAGTAAGAGCGAGCTGAGGATTTGGAGATCTCAGCTCTGTCAATCACATGAAAGTTCTATATTTTCACTCCAGGGCTGTTTCAGATAGAATTCAACGTCAACTTTCAGCTCAGGAGCCTGTTGGGTTTGAAGAGGCTGTTCCTAAGAATATTTGTTTCTGTCAATGCCTGAGGGTTTTGGTTAAGTCCCCAGCTCATTTCAGCTAAGTGGCAGTGAGACTCCCACCAGGAGGGCTCTTTGAAGACTGAACACTCTCCTTCGCCAATGTCGGGGATGCACCTTACGCTTCCTTCTAGATGCACAGCAACCCCGAGGAGAGGCAGGGTATCCACAGGACCCACGGCGTCAAGGCAGCATAAACAAGTACTGAGGCCCCGGCTGGAGCCTCAGGGCGAGTCGTCCACTCGGGAATGGGGGCGCAGGTGGTTCTGCCCCCGGGGAGAGGAGATGAGGGGTCGGGCTGGGCTCCAGTGGGGGGCTTACCGGCAACACTGGCACGTGGGTCCAAGAAGACGAGGACCAGATGGACGTACAATAAGCCCACGAGACACTACGGGAGATGTCCGGGAAGGAACGGCGTCCATGAGCACCGAACGCGAGTTTGTGGAGCAGACAGAGGAAGCCCAGGGGCAGCTCGGACAGGGAGGCAGGGGCCAGCGCTAGAGGCAGACCAAGTACAGGACGGAGCGCACACGGGTGGTCTGCTCCGAGCCCCGGGGAGGGATCTCAGACCCGGATGGAGCACCGGGGAAGACAAAATAGCTGACGGAGAAGCCGGGGTGAGCACACGCGTCCGAACGGGACTGGGAACGGCCTGCGCCGGCCGGTCAGCCACAGAGTTTGCAGACTGACGTGTCACGGTTCAGGAAGGATAGAGATGAGAACGTGAACATACCCGCAGGCAGATAATAACCGAAAGGAAGCTGGACTGGCCGGGTGAGATGCGAGGTCGGGAGAGGAGCCGCCCCGCAGTGGGCGGTGTAAACACCTGCCATACCTCTTCTGGGACCTCCCCAGTCTGATGCTGGGGACCTCGGCGTCCCCGGGCAGGTCACCCAGAGGGGTCAGATCCGGGCGCCCTGCAGGACTGTCTGTGGAGTGTGGCCAAAGCCTGGTGGCCATGCTGTCAAATGCATAGGCTTACCCCCGCAGACACGCGTCACGGGGGCTCCAGGTGGCTGGTCTCGCCTGCAGACAGCACTTAGTCACCTTTGACCTTCAGATTCGTTGCTACCGTCTGCGCTGTATTTCAGGCCACATGAATCTCTTGTCATTTTCCTCCCTCTTCCCCTCCCGTGATCTGCCCCGTGGAACCAGAGGCTCCTCCTGCTTGCACTTCACACGTTGCACATGGCGGGGGGATGTGTGTGGATCAGTACCAGCTCCAGCTGAGCAGGCGGATGCTAGTGGGCTGGAGGCTCAGATTCCCAGGGTCGGCTTGCGCAACAGAAATGTCACTGTCGCTGCCGTTGCTGCCAGCCCCGGACTGAGCACCTGACGTGCCCCCTGCTTTCCCACTCTAACCGCATGCGCGCTGCGTGAGGGTCAAGCAAAGCAGCTGGCCTCCACTTTCTCTGTGGGAGACACACCTGTTCGCTTCAGCCTGAACTCATGTCGTATGAGGGACTTCAAGCTCCTGCTTGAAACTCGAGCGTCGAAGACAATAAGTGTCCCTGCCTCCTAGAGCTCTGACCTGAGCTGGGTCCTGTGGAGCTGTGTGGGTTTTTAACCCGTGCTGGGCCTCTCTCAGCCCACTGGTCCGTCCTGAGCCCAGGGACACCTGCTGCCCTTGTAAGAGGGCCACCAGAACCAGAGCCTGATGCCCTGCGCACGGGGCCCTCCTGTGGGGCTGATGTCAGATGCGGGCAGACCAGGTCCACAGCCACAGACAAGCAAAACCAGCTCACTGGTGCGGTGTTCCACCATTAGTCTGGCTCTGTAAACCGACTCGGCCCTGTGAGCAGCTAAAGGAGCTCGAGGGAACGGTGGTAGGTGAGGCAGAGCTGTCCCTGGTTTAGTCCCACAGCCTCTGCAGAGGCTGCGGGCGAGGGTCCCGGCGGAGCCAGGTTCTCTCCCAGAAGCTTCCCAATAAAGTGCGGCTGCTCCAAAGATGGCCTGGTCAGCCTCCCGGTGCCGGGGCCCAGGAGATGCGCATCTGGCTTTCACAGCGCCTGGCAGCTCTCCAGTCCCCCCCACCCAGTGTCTCCCTGGTCGTGGGTCACCTTGTCCTTATTCTCTGTTTCTGATCTGGATATTTTATGACTGGACTCATTTCATTTTAAACGTTGCTTGAGCTGGAAATTTTAGGCTGAAATTTGTCCCAACAGCCTTACCTGCAGGAGCGTGGCCTCAGTGGGACTCACAGGCCCACAGCCCCGCCATGGGGCCCGGGCCTCAGGCTCCCGCTCCCCTGTGGGCCTCTGAGTCCTTCATGTCCTGAAGGAGCCTCGGAGCTCCCCCGGGGCAGCCCAGCGGGTGGCGTGGGGGCCGCCTCTCCTGACAGGCTCGCCGCCGTCAGTAACCGCTTCTCCTCTTCGTTCTGGGTCCAGTTCCTGATCCGCCTCATTCACAAGGAGCTGAGCTGCCCGGGGTCTGCGACCACGGACCAAGTTCTGTAAGTGCGCCCCGCCCCCCCAGGTCAGAGGGCAACTCTAATGAGCCCACCCACTGTCCCTGCCATTGCATGGCTCGTTCACGCTCACTTTTCCTGATAAATGCCTCAGTGGGGCTGCGATGGCCATAATCTCTCCTCAAAATCTGAGAAAAATGTCAGGGAAATTGCCTTCTTTGTTGTCTTTGAGCGGCAGCTTTGTGACAAATAGCCCCAGAGCCAGCCTGGCGTCCTGCCTTCCATCCTCTCTCCCCCAGGCCTGTGGGGTGGGCGGGGGGCTGCCCCCTCCACGTGGCTCCAGAGACCCTCCGCAGAAGGGTGAGAAGCTGGCTGGGCAGGGTTTGCACGTTCGCCCGCACGCAGCGTCTGGCCTGTGACCATTGCCGGCCATGTCGCCAGCGGCTCTTTTATCCTCTTCCAGGTTCAAGGAACACTGACCCCCTCGAGTCCCCTGGAGGGAGGCTGGGCCCGTCCCTCACAAACTGTCAAGGCAACGTTCAAATAAAGGATCCTGTGTTGGAAAGAATGATGTACCCTTGCCTTTTGCACACACACCCGGAAAAGACACAAAAGCCACCCCGAGAAGTCCGGGTCCTATTTTAGGCGAGCCGTGGCGCTCACGACAGCAGCAAGGAGGTGCCGGAAGTCTCCACGACGGAGCCTGGGACACACGGCGGGACAGGCAGGCGCCCCGGCAGCTCCTCGGGGCCAGGCGGGTGGCACTCAGGGGAGCCGGGGTCTCTCAGGGGTCTCAGTCTAGAATGGGAGAGCAGGTGAGCGCTGATGCCGCGGTGGGCGCCAGAATGCAGCCGGCGCAGAGCCCAGCCTCTGGGAGGAAACTGACGCCTGGATCAGAACCAAGACGGAACTCAGAGCCGTCCCATCACCCAGAAGACTTTCCCGGCACCTCGTCCTGCTCTGCACGGCCTGAGCACCAGCCGGCGGGAAGTGAGCCGCTGAGAAGCCGTCCAGGCCTGCCTGGCAGAGGCCCTGGGAGCCCCTGGACACATCTGGGGTCCGAGCTCCAAGGTGGCCGCCGCTGCTGTCCTGCGGGTCTCGGGGAGGACGTGGCGGGGCGGGCGGGCCCGGTGCCCTGATGTGCTTCACCCCTCCACACGCCAGACACCCGGAACTGTCTCTAGCGAGGTAGCACCAGCGTGGGTTTATTTATTGAAGATGTGGTATGTGTTCTAGACGTTTCAGAAACATAAATGGCATTTTGTTATTTATTAAGACAAACTGTCCTCTGGCCATTTGTTTTCCCACTTGTCGCCAGCAAAATACTCATCTGTTCTTTGAAATAAAGTGGTTTTTTAAAACAACGCTCAAGCAGAATGTTGATTATGTCTCCTTGCGTTTCCATTATGTTAACGAAAGAGAACTTCGAACACTACATGTTCTTGGTTTTCCGGGGTCGGACACAGCCTGTAGTTCTGCTGCTGGAAGCTGAGGCCATTTTCAGCAAAGCAGGGGTCATCCTGCTCAGGGGCAGGTTGAGCCCAGGCCCCGGCAAACAGAGTCAGGGTATTTTGTAAATCGTGCGATTTAAGGGACATCCTGAGATTTGTCCTCGACGCACGAGAGGAGCAGGGCTGCACCTGAAATTGCACGGAGTGGGGCAGGCTCTCAGAGCTTCTCCCCAGACACAGGTAGTGGGTTCCTTCCCCGTCTGTGTGCCTGGACCACGGCCGGGAATCCAGCCCGGTTCCCCGTCGTGCCCACGGAGGCTCCTGCTCTGGGCTCTCCGGAGAAGGGCCAGAGATGAGGGCTCTTCTGGTGACCATCATCCTCACCAGATAGGCTTGCTTTGTGTAAAAAAAAGTCTCTTAGACATTTAAAAGTTCCCAGTAGTAACTGGAATAAAATTCCTGGCAGCACTGAGTAGATCGTACCGTTCCTTACACGAGGTTCCCTCTGCTCACAGGGATCTCTTTCCCTCTGGTTCCTTCCATCTTGTATTTGCTCTTTGCTTTGAGCCCACCGGTCTCTGGCCGCTCCTCTTTGCCTTCCCTCCCTGTCCTGGGCTTAAGCACCAGGCCCCACCTGGCCCCAGGGCAGGTGCTCGCTGTGCCCCCTGCAGCCTCCCACTCACCCCATGTACCCAGTTTCAGCATCGACTCAACATGGAGAGGGCGGAGGCGAACACAAACGTGCGTTCTCTGATGCACAGAGAATCCTTCCTAATGACATGCTGGAGCCCACTGCTCCCTGCCCCCCCAGAAGGTTCTCCCTGAGGCCTGAACTCGGTCTATTCCCCGGGCAAGGCCTTCAGTCGACCCGCTTCACTTCTGCCCCTGCCCCAAAGCACAGTCCACCATCGGGTGTGGTTCAGCCATAGGAAGCTGTGGAGTGATTATTCTTCCCGACTCTGGGGGTTGAGGTAGTAGACAGTCTTCCACAACCCACAGAGGAAAGGTCACTCTGCACCCCTGAGCCTGCTAGGATAACCCCAGTCATGCCTGTTGAGATGCAGAGTCAACATCTGAATGCATGGAGGAGTCCACGCAGCTACTGTGTAAAGCAGTTTAGCTGAAACACATGTCAGATCCATGGATGGGAGATCTCGTCATCACTTTTAAAGGAAAAGTTATCTGATTTCAATAGAAGAATTGATCTTCATTTCACCCTGAGCAATAAGCCGAGATGATCTCCTTCTGCTAATAGCTGGTTGTGATGCATGCAAGCTTGAATTCTCATGGAAATGTGACTCTGCCCTCCATGAGTTTTCCTATTCAAATACGAAAAAAACCCAAAAGAATGCCCAGGACAGCTGAAATACAAGCTTGTGACAGGGGCAGTGAAGGGCGGAGCTCAGGAGCAGAGCCCTTCCGAGGTAACGCGCCTGGAAGCTCACCCTCCGAGTCAGAAATCAGAACCATCTCTCCAACTGCCCATGAGACCCAATAAAAACAAATTACTAGAAAAAATGAACTGGAAAAACCCAAGTCCTAATGCCAGACATTGTGCCAATTGCTGTAGGGGCTTGTAAATGCTTGCTCAGGTCTCCGTGTACCGGACGTTCAGGGTTGGTGGGCGGGCGTGAGCAGGGAGAGCCCAGCCAACAGGGTGCCCTGCCGGGTGCTGACCGGGGTGCTGGGGTCCAGCGGGCTGTGGGCGCAGTGCGCAGGGCTGCTGTGAATTGCTCACAGAGTGTCACGCAGAGGGGTCCCCAAGAAGCCGCAGCAGCCCGACTCCCAGGGCACCCCTGGGCCTGCCGGGCTGGGGACTGCGGGCAGCGGAGCCAGCAGGCGGGTCTGTCCAACCCGGGCCCAAGGCCGAACAAAAACCTGGGCCTTTTGTTCAAAACGCGGGAAAAGGTGCTGTTCAAGGTACTGAAATAGAAAATGTCCTTTCTTCTGCTCTCGGAGGTGGTGGGAGGCGGTAGGAGGCGGGATCATGGGGAGGGGTGGGGAGCGGCTGGGCTCCAGCCCCCCAGCACCTGCCGCTGTCCCACCCGACTTCAGTTAGAAACCGCAAGGCATCGGAGGGGGAGACGAACCATGAGAGACGATGGACTCTGAGAAACAAACTGAGGGTTCTACAGAGGAGGGGGGTGGGAGGATGGGTTGGCCTGGTGGTGGGTATTGAGGAGGGCACGTTCTGCATGGAGCACTGGGTGTTATGCACAA